ACTAATTAAAATTGGGCTATGATGACTTACAAAATATTCTAAATCTACAGACAATATGATTTTAGCTGAAACTTAGACAACTAGATAAAAAAAAAGTTCTGGAATGTTATGTTCATTCTAAAAACACGTAAGAAATGATTAATTTGAAAAAGTGAAAAATTAAAAAATTATAATAAAAAATATCTAAATTATGAATAAACCTATATGGGACAATAATAATAAAACAAAGTCTATAGACAAATTAGAAGATTATTTAATTTTCCATGATAGTAAGAATACTCTAAGCTTATTAAGTAATTTACCAGATGATTTATATTTGGTCATAAAAGCAGTGTTTCCAAGAGAGTTAAATTCAAGTTATGATGATGCATTATGTACATCAAAGTGTTTATGTAATTATAAATCGGCTACTCAAAAATAGAAAATTGTTCCAATAAATTTAAGTAAATATTTTAGTTTCAAAAAATTTAATAATATTGAAATTAAAACCAAATATTCAAAATGAAAGAGATTCTTATAAACTAAAAGAAATAAATTATATAATAAAATTGAAACATTTGTGATTATAGAAAATAAAATAAACTTTAAAAAAAATAAGGAAATATTCATTATAAAAAATAATGAAATAAAAACTTTTATAATTGATAAAAAATTAAATAAAACTGTGAAAATAAAGAAATGTAAAATAATTATTATTATGAGAGCAAGGTGAAAGTTAAACATCTTGATGAAAAAGTTTTTAAGAATATGATATGGAAATCATATATTAGAAATGGAAATAAAATTCTTTTTAAAAAGAACAATTTAAAGATAATTTATGCTATGAAAAAGTTGTTTATATTGAAAAACAAGGGAGTAAAATTTAAAAAAATAAAAAATAATTGAAATTTAATAATATTATATAAAACGCTACAATTAAAGATATTTTTTAAAAAAATTAAAATTTAACGGTTTGACTAAATTACAAATGCTAAGGTAAACTGCAAATGCATGCTTAGGTAAAAATAGGTAAAAAAATTTGTTAAATTAAATAATAAAACGCCAACTAGCGGATGTTATATTAATGAAATTTAAAATGTAATTATAATTATTTTTAATTTAGTTAAATTAGTTAATATGAGATAAAAGAAAATACAACTATTAATGTCTATTCATTTATTATTGATTACATCTATAATAATATAATTTTTATAAGTTATTTATAGAATAAAAAAATGAAACTTGCTCCAATTAAGAGAGAATATAACAACTATTTTTACCTAAGCATTTGCATTTTACCTTGGCATTTGCACTTTACCTTAGCATTTCAGTTTAGTCAAACTCTAAATTTAATATTGATAAAAATTATTATTTAAACGCAATATTTATAATATAATAAAATTAAAATAAAACGCGACCAATATTTATTTCATTCCAAATATTCAATATTTGATTAATTTATTCTGCTTCAATTATTCTTATCAAATTCGTTATTCGTAAAATTAATTCTATTTCGATTATTCGACAATTCTTATTTTTTTTTACGTCGTTATTCAACATTCTGAAATCATTCAAAATCTTTACATATATATTTAACAATGATAATAATTAACAGAAGGATGACAAAGTTAAATCATATGACAACTAAACCGTTTATCAGAGATATGGAGGGAGTAAGACAAGATACGAAAGATTTAGGTCTAAAGAGAACCTAGGCGGGGTTCCTTTAGAGGGTGGAATGTTGAACATGGATTATTATTTTATTATAATAATTATTATATAGCGCAAATTTTGATATGTTACTTTCATTGAATTAACACCATTTATATTAACTTAACTTAATAGTTTCATTTAATTGTTTAATAGATCTTTTGTTATAAAGAATAAATTTATTATATTTTTTTATTTGAAATATTTATAAAAATAAATATATTAAATAAAGTTTTTGTAATCACTTTCTTAATTTTCTTACTCTCTGCTAACCTTAACAAAAATTAACAAATTTAATATTGTAATTCTAGTTCAAAATCACTGATCAACATTTTTAAATTTAATTGGCATGCCTCTTCCTAAAAATATTTTTAACATCCAAATAAGTATAGGAGATTTCTTTATAAAAAAGTATACATAAAGTTTATAATCCACTATTATATAGAATTGGTTATAAAATAATAGATAAAATGCCACTTTTACAGACGTATTTGTCAGTTACATAATATATTACATTTAATATTTTAATAAATTTTACTAATAAATGCTTTTGATAAAAAATATAAGTAATTGTATTCAAATCTAAAACGCCATCTATTTATATAAAAATATTATTAAAATAAATTATTATTCATCCCACAATAGATATAATAAATTAGATATCTTTTCTTCTCTTTTTTACGTGTTTATAGGAAAGCTATTTTTTTCTTATTTTAAAAACAGTTTTCGAGTTAAATTTTTAATACTTGTAATTTTTGATATTATTACAAACAACTATTATTTTAAGATATAATTTACCAACTCCAGGTGGTACGACAAATATATAAAATCTTAATTGCTTCTGGTTAAAATATTTCATTTTAATATGGCATCTTTTTAGTGTAAATGTAAATAACTTAAGGCTTCAATATATTAATATAATTTCTTCCAAAGATTTATAGTATTTTTATCAATTTATCTAACATTATCAAGTCTGATATGAGTTAACAACATGTGTGTCATGGCTATGACTGCAAATTAACCAGTATCTATTATTTGTGTGGCAATGTAAGTAAGGATTATTACTACAGATGCTGAGAGCATCTGATTGCATATTTTAGATAATCAATAAGGGACAACTGTGGAGTCGTTTATATATTATTAAAAATGGAAGATAATCTGTTAAAAATTTAATATATCACAATAATTTTCTCGATTACTTATCTAGCTTCCATCATATCATTTAAGAGGAAGCTCTAACCACTAGTGTTGTTAAATTGCCGGGTTAGGTCGGCTTGCCCGAAAAAAATGACCCTAAACCCGAGCAAATCGATTTAGCCATAGATCAGACCCGACCAGACCCATAAGGTCTCATGAGCCGGCCCATCTGGTCGGCTTGGTGGGTCGGCTTGCTGAGTCTGCTAGGTCGACATGGGTTTGCGTGCTGGGTCGTCCTGCTGGGTCGGCTTGCTGGATTGGCCTGCTGGGTTGCTTGCTGAGTCGGCCTGCTGGGCTTGCTGGGTTGGCTAACTGGGTCAAAAAAATATATATTGAAAATTAAACCAGTTTGTTTTAATCGGGGTTCAATGTTTTTGATATTATAAAGATGTTCAAAAATCTTTGGTTCAAGTAATAAATTGTCACTTTATTATATCCTATTCCACGAAGTAAAAATAAATTATAAAATTTTTTTAAGAAATCTTAAGCCTAGTTAAAAGTTTTAGATACTAGAATGATGTTCTTAAACCTTTGGGACTAGTAATAAATGGCCATTATATTATACTCCACGAGGAAACAATAAATGTGAAAATTAAAAAAAAAAGTTAGGCCTAGTTTAAGGTTTTTGATATTAGAAAGATGTCCCTAAAACTTTTGGGTTAGTAAATATTTGACACTATCATTATATTTAACCCCACGAGGAAAAATAATTATGAAAATTTTTTTAAATTTTGTTTATAGTTAAAAGTTTTTGATACTGGAAAGATATCCATAAACTTTTGGGTCTAGTAATAAATTGGCACCCATTATATTTTACTCCACGAAGAAAAAAATTAATGATATTTTTTAAAATGTTGTTTTAAGCCTTGTTAAAATTTTTTATTTATGGTAAAAACGTGTTCTAAAATATCTAAGTCTAATAATAAATTGGGACTGTCATTTTATTGTGTTCCTCTAGGAAAGAAGGAAATTTTTTAAAACGTTGTTTTAAGTTCAGTTAAGTTAAGCGTTTTTTGATAATAAAAAAATGTTCTAATACTTCAGAGTCTAGTAATAAATTGGCACTGCCATTATATACTCCAAGAGGAAAAAATATGTTAAAATTTTTTAAAAATTTATTTAAGGGTAGTTTAAAGATGTTCTAAAACTTTTGGGTCTAGTAATAAATTGGCACTTCCACTATATTTTACCACAAGGGAAAAAATTATGCATTTTTTTTAAGATGTTGTTTTAAACCTTTAAATATTATGTATTAGAAAGATATTCAAGAACTTTTAGGTCTAGTAATGAATGGGCACTGCAATTATATTTTACTCCTCGAGAAAAAAAAATGTTAAAAATTTTTAAAAATTTATTTTAAGCGTAGTTTAAAGTTATTTATACTAGAAAGATGTTCTAAAATTGAAATAGTAATAAATTGGCACTTCCACTATATTTTACCACGAGGAACAAAATCATAAAAAAATTTAAAATTTGGTCTTAAGCCTAGTTAAAATTTTAATACCAAAAAATGTTCTAAAACTTTTGGGTTTAGTAAGAAATTATCACTGTTATTATAATTTAGTCCACGAGGAAAAAATTATAAAAATTTTATAAAACTTTGTTTTTATCCTAGTTAATAGTTTTTAATATTGAAAAGATGTTCAAAACTTTTATGTTTATAAATAAATTTATAGTGCCACTTTTCTAAACTCCATGTGTTAAATGTAAAATGATTAAAAAAAACTATTTCTTTATGTTAGAACCTTATAAAAAGTTACTGATATTATAAAGATTTTGTTAAACCTTTGGAGCATTAATATAGTGTCACTGCCATTAGAATTTATTCGACGACGAAAAATTTATTTTAGATCTTTGTTTTAAGTTTATTTATATAAATTTGATATTGGAAATGTTTTAAAACTTTTGGGTACATTAAGTAATTTCTAATTTCATTACTTTTTAAATTCACGCATAAAAATCTAGAAATAAAATTTTATATACTTGTTTTGAGCCGTGCAAAAAGTTTTTGATATTAGAAAAATATTCTAAGCCTTAGGGTCTCGTAAAATTTTGATACTGCTATTATTATTTTTTTTTAACTTGGGTTGAGGGTATAAAATATGAGTAGTATATCATTTGTAACTATTTAGGAGATTGGTAGTTAATAAGAAAAGACGGGACAAGTTCAGCAAGGATCCCATATTTAAATTTACGGCATTCGGATAAATAAATTTTCCTAATTTTAAAATATGCTAAAATTGTTTTATATAGTTAACTATACATATTTTACATTAAATTTGGTGAATTTGAAACACAAGATTATAATTATTTGATTTAAGATCTTGGAAATAATTTAAACAAATTTTGAACTATTTTTTATAATTTATGAGTTTTACAAACATTTATTATATTTACATATTATTTAAATCACGAGTTGATTCTGCCATACTACGCCAATTTATATGTTCCATTCATTCGTAATATTAGTGTATTTAAATTACATAAATGCAATACTCGGACGTCCATTATTCATTCATATGAAGTTACATCATAAAAATAACAATTTTCCCCTTATATCTGTTAGGTATTGAACCTTACAAATTATTATATTCATAAATATCCATTTATATAATCAATATAAAACTTAACATCAATATCTATAATATGTAATCATAAATCATAATATATTCCTATTACTACAAGCCTCCCATGAATACTATCTACCACTGCTTCATTATAAATTATAATTTTAAATTGATTTTTTTTTCTTTGGTAATTGTGTGAATAACTTATCCAAAAGCATAATATTCGTGCTTAAAAATATTATCATAGACAAAATTTTGAAACATTTAGATGTTAAGAGATACTAATAATTAGGAATTTAATTATTTTTATTTATGAACCCCTCTCCCTTTCTTTTTGGAAATTATAATAATAATTTTTAATTTATAAGATATCTTTAGAATTATTTATTTATCGTAAATAGGCTCTTTTACATTTTATAAGTAAAAAATTTGCAAATACAAAATATATAATACGCCACATTTTCAATATCTTTATTATTTTCATATATAAAATATAAAATTCGCGCAAATTTAAAATGTTAACTTCCCACGAATTCACACATAGACATTGTTTCAAAGTTGTCGCTGACATTTGATTTCTTTTCTTAGTAATAGTGGCGCCGGCCTTAGAAAAAATACTTTCGCTGGCTACGGGCGTAGATTGTTGGGATAAAAAATCTTTGGCCATTGTCGAGAGCTTTGGAAAACGTTTCAAGTTTCTACACCACCAATCCACATCAACGGACGTTTGAGCTGATCTGCTAGGTTTTCTTCGATTTCTTCTGTAGCTAGATTTGGTATAATGTACGCATTTCTTAATATAAAATATGTAAATTAAATAATTATTATATCTGCGAATCTATTGTAAAACCTTGTAACAAAAATTTTAAAAATGCCTATTTTGCAACGATATGTTTTATTAATTTTATAAATTCTTAGGACTCTATTTTTTTAAGAATATTTATATATCAAAATATCGTCTTATTTGCATAAGAATCACCTATATTTTATGTTATTGTTAAATTACTTTTTTTTAGAGTTTTTATACAGTAAATGATTTTTATATTATAATCTGTGTAAAATATCTACATTTTGAAATTTATTTTAAATAATTAAAATATGTGATGAAATATTCTCTAAAATTTTGTTATATCCATATTTAAAATTAAAAATATATTCTATAAAGAATAATAGCGCCTGGCTTCTAAGAAGAATTAAATATATCAATTTATTTGATGTAATGATATCGCAAGATAAAAATTTAAGCCCGACCCTGTTCGAAAAAAATATATTAGGCCCTAATCGAAATTATTTTTTAAAAAATAAGGTTCGGGCCAGGGTTATAGTGCCATCTAAAAGTTATGGAACAAATTTAGCTAACTCGCTCATGTTGCTCATCAAGCTAGCTAAAATTATTTCCCTCAAAATAGAGATGGCACACTATTTCTACATAATTATAATATTAAAATCCTTATTCACAAATATATAAATTTCTGCTCAAAAGTCGGCTTGAGCCAACTACTGAGCCGACTTGAGTTTGAGTCGATTTTTTGACTCAAAAACTGACTGAGTTTAGGGCTAAGTTGGTTTGGCTTAGCTATTTAACAATACTAATCTTATTACTAAAAAACGAAGGTTAAACAAGGTATAAAAAATATATTAATTATAATCATCGTTCGTTACAAATTTTCAGCCGAATAATTTTACGTCTTTTATATATTAAAATAAAATTACTTGTTGATGTACTTAATCGGTGTTTCCACAAATATCTTTTGGCATAGATCATTGCTAGATTTTAACGGGATCAAACTTTCATCTAATATCTTTAAAAAATTATCATTTATATGATTTTATAACATAGCTAACAGAGATATAAATTTACCTGAAGATCTTCACCAAATTGAGATTGACTATTCAATAGTGAAGATTCAAAGAAATTTGTGGAATCATCCAAGAATGATAAACTGTTTGATGGGGTGAAAATAATATCATCCTGATCCATAATTTATAAAAGTAATCAATTTTTTTTAATAAAAGTAATAAGAATTTTATTATAATAAAAGTAATTTAAACACATGCATTTATAATTAAAATATTTACAAATGTACAACAAAAGAAATAATAAAAGAAATTTCAATAATGCTTTTAAAACTGAAAAATATGGTCAATATGTTTCATTAAATCATCACAACATATTATTATATAAAAGTTATAAAAATCTTATATTTTAAAGTAAAAATATGTTGGTTTATATATCGGGCTGTAAAGAAAATTTTCTTTATTCGATCGAAAATGTAAACAAAGGAACAAAATAAAACTTCACATCATTTTAAATTTAAAAAAAATATCAATTGCACAGAGATACCTAACAAAAATAATAAGCCTATTATCGCCTTTTTTAATATTGTTTACTATTTTTTTCAAAAGATTTTTTTTCTTTCTGGCATTTTGTTACACCCTTTTTGATTTTTTATAGTTATTTTATAACAAATAAATATAATATATCTATAACTATCTTGACTGTTAATTTCAAAATTTACTATATCTTACCGATAAAATTTTATTTTTTATGATAATATTTTATACATCCGTATAAGATTAATATTCAACATGATTAGGTACCTTACCTTATAGACCCAAATAGTATGATAAAGGTATATAAATTTGATGTTAGAAAAAAACTATGAGAAGCAAAATATAATTATTTCCGTTTACAAAGTGAAGTTAAGAATATATAACGTAAGGAAAATCTATTAAATCATATGTATTTACTGATTACATAATATTTAGTTTAAAATACAATATCTAAAATGAAAATTTTTTTAACTAAATAATTAATAGATATTTTGTATTTAGAAGATATAGTTTTTATTTTCTTACCTTTTTCTCCTTTATACTCATAACTATACCTCACTCTAGAACTACAAATTGGATAGGGCGTAATTTCACTCATTTTGATAAATATATCTGTATTACAAATGTTGGTATCCCTGAGAAAAAAATTCAGCAAAATTATAGGGAGAGTGGGCCTCCTTATAATTCACATTAGCTTACTTTCGGCAGATCTATGACCAATGTGATAGATATGATAAGAAGATATAAAAAGTTATAACACACTTAAAAATAAATTTTAAAAAACATTTTTCTAATATCAAAAACAATGAACCCAGATTAAATCAAACTAGTTTAATTTTCTATATATTCAACAAATTGACCCAGCAGGCCGACCCAGTATGCCAACCCGGGTCGGCTCAACAGGCCCTTGGGTCGGGCTGCTCTGGGTTGGGCCAATTCGACTTCGACCCGGGGTCGTGGTAGAAAAAAACCAACCATTTATCAACACTACTAACCACCATATAGTTTTATGATTAGGATTGATCGTTTGTAATCTCTTCTTCAAGAATTGTTGATTTGGTTAGCTCTATAAATTTTTTCTTATTAATCCATTCTATAAAACATTGTCTAAAATGGTAACAGAGAGTTATATTAGTTTCATGACCTTTTGTCAAAGTAAGTTGCTAAGAATTATATCATATTATGTTGTTTTTAAAAACTTATCAATTGAGGCATATATATAAAATTAATTAACTTTTTACTGTCATAAATAGATCTTGTATTAAAAAATATTATTTTTAGAAATGTCTTGTATTGTTTTAATTATTTATATGCTAGTTTATTTATAATAAATGACAAAATATGAAATTCATGATAATTGTTCAGAGTTAGCAAATTTTAAAAGATTATAATATATTAATATAAAATCCGACTAAATACCTGGCAAAAGCGAGCCGAAGACACGCAAATTATGGAGTATGGGGGCCTTTGCCCCCTATAAATTTTTTTTACCCTCTGAGATAGTAAAGGCTAGCGACGCCCCTGACTTTTTTAAATTATCTTAATTACAATAAACTACAATACATTAATATTTTATAAATATATTCACAGGAAGAGATTTTAATAAAATTATTAAATTTTATTGTACTATAAAATTACTTTGTGCAAATATTTTACAATAATATAAAATTATTGGAAAAAAAATATAATATTAGAAAACAGATATATAAGTGTAGCTATAAAAAAAAATTAAAATTTTTTTATTTTTGATTGTTTTTTGAAGATTATTGACCTCGACAGCTAGCTAAGGTTTTAGGGTTCTAACATACCTTAATTTTGTTAAAAAATAGGTTATTATTTTTTTATTATAGTTAAATTTATTTTTTTTAATAATATTTTTATGATTGATTTACATTGCTAAATGTAAAAGCATAAACATGTTTATAATAAGCAAAATGGACATCGATAAACTGACAGCTTGCTCATCGTTTTTTTTCGCAAAGGATGCGTGCAACCCTTTTTTCTCGCCAATTACAAACATATACAAATTCATCCATTATTCTTTCAAATGGTAAAATAATATTTTTAAATAAAATTATATGATATTTTAAATAGATTGACCACTGATTCTGATATCAAATTATTCAATATACAAGTTTGGCTCAAATAATTTAATAAAATTTAAGGTAAATTAATATTTTTAAATAAAACTATAATATTTTTATTTTACTTATAAAAAATTTAACATAAAATTGAAAAATTTAGATATTTTTAATTAATTTCCAAGGCATAACCCGACCGGCCCTATTTTTTGAAAAAATATTAGGCCTGAAACAGACCGAATCCGATTTTTTTTTAAAAATAGGCCCGCCTATCCTTGCAAATCTCTAATATTTACGGCCAACCTCTGACGTAGGTAGTATTCCTCGTTGTGATCCTCTGTCCTAGAAGGATCAGATGTCCCAGCTCTTTATAAAAGACGAGGGCATGAGAGCAGGAACGAGGTTGGAGTCTTGGCGATTAATGGTAGGAATGTACAGTTAGAAGGTAGCGATGGCAAATATTTAGCGAGTTTATTCGCCTTAGCATCTAGTAGAGCATTCATATTTATATTGGAAGGAGCTAGAGGATCAATGCATGAGAATTCCCATATTAGAAACCCCTCCCCCTGGTAGAAACATCAGTCCGTTTACCATCGTCATTGTAAAGGCCAGTAGGCTCGAGGGTCGACGAAATGCCAGCAGATTTTAAGACTCTGACAATAGTATCGTTGCATTTTGAATTTCTAATGGATCTCTCTCTACAACGCTTTAATGCAAAGAGTGACGGTCTTTAGAGTTGACCGATGTTTGACAGAGAATACAATGAAAAGGTATCACCATATCGGAATTAAATCTAAAACCAATGGAGTATCGTTGTTTAGAAGCTAGTCAAGATTTTGTGATGGAATAACCTTGAAAAATTTATAGCTGCTCCTTGCGGAAATGGAGAAGAGTAGAGAATGATCTTCTAGTTGGCTCCTCGGTATAAGATAGGCACCAGAGTTGCCAACTAAAGGCTATTACAGTATTTCTCTAGTGTCGATGAAGTATGGACTAATAAGAGAGATTTCCAGAGAACAATTGCCTACAGAAGCAAGAGCAAGGGTTCAGAATATTTTGTGAATGCGAGAATGATGGGCTCGCAAGGCAGGCGAGAAGATATAAACGCAATAACAGCTTTTTAATTTTATAATTATTTTGGCTAATAAGTTCTAAAGATAGAGCCAGTTGTGGGGCGAATTTCTTCACCAGGTTTTTTTTAAGTGGTAAGATTCACTTCGTATAATTTGATGGATCTGTACGGACAAATCTTTATTTATTTGTAAAAAATGTTAAGGAATGTTCTTTGTGGTAGGAATTGGGTATTAATATCAATTGCAAATAAGATGGCCTAAAACCATCAAGGCCAATATTTGAGAATATATTGAAGAAATCGATAGCCTGCATAATTTCATCATTAGAGATATAATAATAGAATTAACAATTAAAATTTTTAAAAAATATTTGTCTTAACGCTTGCTTATCTCTCACCTAACTTATTTTTGTGTATAGATATATATATACGAATAAAGATACATTTAAGACTTATTAATTTAACATTTTGCTTATTATACATTTAAAAAATTTCTCACATTTTAAAAAAACAAATCAGGTTCTGGATGGAACTACGCTGTTATTTAATATTAAAAAATATATGATTTATTTTATAAAATACATAGATTGTAATATGTAAAAGAATGAATTTTACTTTTACTAACTTCGATCGTCGATGACCCATTAAATATTAGACAATTACTATTGCCACCATCGCATATTTCGCACAGTCGTTTTAATTTTGAGAATAGTTTAATGTCACATCCATAGGGCTTGAATAATAAAAAAATATGAATTTTTTTAAATTTTGATATTAGCATGAATAATTTAACATATATAATTAAACTTTGAGATAAATTTTATCTTTATTTTTTACATTGGAATAGAATAATTTTATATAAAAAATGTAATTAATTCAATTCAAAAATATATTAAATTTCTTTATGCATATAAAACGATTTAAATTTAAAAAGTTTTAAATATACATATAATATCGGATAAAAATATGATAAAAAACATTTTTAAAAACGGCTAATTCAATATTTTATCCATAAAAATATTACGTATGCCTGAATATTTTTTTCATAGAAGTAACAAAGGCTTACAAATATATCATCGAAATCTCTAGGCCCCTTTATTAAGATTGTAAATGATAGCGTCCCAAAGTATAAAATTATATAAATTTGATTAAAACAATTATTAGAATAAACTAGGTATGATTGGTATATGATATATCAAATTATAGAATAACAGCTAGGGGAGATTGGGGTTAGGTGAACCGATTTTTACAAAATTGTTTATAGCTTCTGGGTTTTTTTAGATAATATAAAAATCAATATATGATTAGATACCTAATATACTCTATAAAGGTGCCTTATAAAAAAATTCTAGAATATAATCATTTTTTTGAAATTTTATTTTTTGTAAAAGTCGTAAATTTGCCCAACAAGCCCCAATAGCGGGGTGAGGCAAACCACTTTAAGGGGCTTCCTATAAACCAATGGTTTTTTTAGGCAATAATAAATTGAAATGT